AATCGTATTAAAGTATAAGGATAGGAGTGGGGAATAACGCTCATAAACTTATCCATTCGATGACAAAAGTTCGCGATGAAGTTTGTCGCTTAATCATATTGAATTTCATGGAGTTACCGTTTTTCCCGCAACTTTGACAGAAATTACGGGACGAAAGTATGGTTAACGGCTTACGAGTTCTATGCCATAGGATTACAAACGCAATGACCAAGATGCAACGGCTTCCTTCGAGTTTCTATTGTAAAAATGAAATACTTCCGTGTATTAAAGTTCGCTACCAAGAAGATCGGGAATTGTTGCTTAGGGTCGGAAAATTAAGGTTTGCCAAGATTTACGATCTGCGAACAATTATGGCATTCATTAATTCATTTTACTATATGGATAATTCATAATGTAAACTTACAAGAATTATAATAACTCAATATATTTGTACTAATAAATAAAGTCTTTCATAGATAATAATTAAAATATGTCAATTTAGATTGTCCATGATTTTATTTATAAATTTTCCAAATTTATATAATGGAAGAAATGACAAATCAATGTTTTTTGAGGCTCGTTATCCTAATCTGTAATATAGAATAATAATCGATATAATTTATAAGTGCATTGATATTTTTATAAACGTTATGTATTAGTTTATGCTTAACAGGGCATTGTTCGTACATATTTAGCCGATGATAAATTAAATGAGTTTAAGCGTAAAATAATCCAAATAATTCAAATGATATGGTTAACTTTCAATTTTATTAAATATATTTAATAGGGATATATTTAAAATGCGTATATTTAAAAAGGATTTGATTTTGAATTTAAAGACTTATGCAAAGCTATAAAGCTCTACACTCCAAACAATTAAATTTAGAAAATTAAATATTATTTCTTTCTAGGCTAAAACATCTAAAACTTTTATCAAATATGTGGCTATAATTTAATTTTGCTTTTTCTATAAACTTCCCAAGTTTTTAAAACATAGCTATTGGCAGCAATTGAAATAATACTAGATAACTATGTAAAAATAAAATACATTACGCTTGAAAGTTATAATGCCGAAAAATATTTATATGATAACAGAAATATTGCATTATCAGAGAAAAGTAAATTCATGTTAATAAGTTGAGAGTTATAAGTCCGCTGCCTAAGTTTTATTTGCAACTTTATTTTATTCGATACACAGTTTATTGATTCAGGTGTATCTATTTAAACTATAAATACATATCTCGTGCTTTCGCTATTACGAATATCAACTATCAACGTGGGAGTATATTTCACTCATTATCACATCACCGGATATGAGTCTAAGTACGAAGGAATATCTGTACGAAGGCGTTAGGCTGAAAGAAAAGTTGACCTTTATACAATTCCTAGCGAACTATATGAATTTTCGTAATTTTCAAAGATATAAGGCGCATATTATCGCATGAAATTAACATGAAATTTTGTAGGAACGATGTGACTGAATTTTCTCGGTAATTATACATTTGCAGTAAGTTGTTTTCCAATTAAGTTTACTAATTTTCAGAAATTCATCGTGAAGGAGAATCAACCAGTTGAACATGATCGATACAAACCACTTTAATTCTTATGATCCATTCAATTTACGATCGCATTAATAGCAAGATAATTTCATATACACAAAAGCAGACTTTATAGGAAGAGAAGGAAAAGATAATAAAAGAAAAATATTATATAACGCTCATATGTAGCGTCGTTAGTTACATAAAAGAACTACAGATTGTTTACAGATTTTTTTACACCTTAATAATGTTTAAGGTAAAGATAATAATGTTTAGTATGTAAGGATATCGAAAAAAATTATAAAAGTAAATAGGAGGTACAATCAGCAGTGCAAAAGTTAAAGATGAAATAATAAAAATAAAAAGATTATTAAAATTTATAAAGTCGTTAAGCCGTTGTTATTGCAGCTGGAACTGTACTTTACAAAGTATTCCATTTGAAATATTATGTAAGCCATCTGATGCAGACTGTCATCGATAAAAGACGTAAGTATAATAGAGAATCAGTGTATCTTGACGGCTTTTTCATGCCATCATTTTATTTTCGTTTCTTACACTGAAAATCGTTTTAAATCAATAAATCGAATCGTCAACTTCCAGGAGAAAGCTCAGCCCTTTATCTTTCTTTCTCATTCTCTATCTATTGCTCGATCCTTCCGATTTTGTTAAGTTTCTCCATTTTCCTCGTTCACAATTTCATTATTATCACTTATGATTATTTCCTTTTCAATATAAACTCACAAATTCTTATTTGCACGCATTGAACGCATAACAATAGGATTCTACTTTTCAGCTCTAGTCTTACTTAGCTTAATGAATAAATTTTACGTATTTGTAATTGTCCCTTTCCTCCTCCTCCTCCTCCTCCTCCTCCTCCTCTTTCTAACACCACTTTCTTCATAAAGCATTATTAATTGGGAAATAGTTTTTTTCGATTAAAAAAAAAAAAAACAAGACAAAACAAAAAGATAAATAAACAGTGTTGGGAAAATGGGGTTATTCGTTTTTTATATCGACGATAGCAGTTAAATTTATAAAATATCAGTTTTTATGAGTATATAATTACATATTAATTAGCTTCAAAATCATAAGCCACCATTCATTATTACATTATTATATTATTACCGTTTTGATTTATTTTTCACGCGACCGTTACAACGAGGAAAATGCGAAATTATAATCATCAACGAAAGGCTCATCTTCGGCCGCGCATCATTTATGAATATTGAATAATAGTCATTTCTCAGTCGCACTAAATGATTTTTGTAAACAAAAGGGAAAGCTGTAGAGTACGCCTTTCTGAAAAAAGACAGGACCAACTAATAATGGGGTGGCACAACAAGTCAAACACCTGCAACCTCTACAAATACAATCTCAATATTTCATCTACTCAATATATGAATGCGCTAAAGGCATACGATTTTGCTCGGCTATTTATCTCGTGCATGCGATCGTGTAGATTACCGATTTGTCGCGAAATCTCCTCGACGAGTCGAGATTAAAATGAATTAACGCGTGATTAAGCTCGCTACGTCGCGAGGTCTCGATCTCCGTGAAATTTGCACATGCGCGCGCGCGCGCCTAACAGGATCTCGCCAAAGAGAACGACCCATATCTGGGATGCACGCGTAATAAAATCGCTGCTTGCATGGGCGGGATATATATATATTTATATATATATATATATATGTACAGAGGAAGAGAGAAAGAGAGAGAGAGAGATAGAGACTGCGGAACATAGGAGAAGAGCAGATTAAGTGCGCCCTGGTTGTGAAAATTAGTTCGGCCTTATTCATTTTCCCGCTCTTTCGCAACTTTTTAATCGCTGTCCGATATGTTTAATTTTTTTTATACCAACATTCAACATTTCGTTACTTTAAATTTCTTGGAATATGCTGATCGTCCTTGTTACGCTTCTGTGATTTCAAATTACATCCTAATAAAGATAATAGAGCATTGCATAGTTTGCAAAATTTACATTCAAACTCAATGAACATCCGCTAGAATTTCTATATAGACTAGTTTACTTTACAATGAAAATGACTAATTTCTTCTAATCAAGCCAAGTCCTATTTTTACGCGTACGTAAGGTGTCATGAGCAGATAAGACGAAATTGTTGCATGCTAATAGAGGTAATTAGTCAGTCATTGGCGCAGGTAGGCAATTTACTTATGCAAAAAGCGCGTATACCAGTTCACTCTAAGCGTCAGTTCGGTCATCACGACTGACAATTTGGGCTTCGCTATGACCTCGATTGCTTTCTCTTTTGAATTTTATCCTCGCTCGTCTCTGCCCATCCTAACATGTTCTCGCGCAAGCTTCCAGATGAACTTTTAACGCGGCTGGATTGCTTGTTCGTGTACGACAAGGAGCCAAGAAGGTGGAACTGGAAAATACATAGTCGCAAATATGTCTGTTCGTGTGTGGGGCAGAGAGTGAAAGACCTGTCCAGACTTGGGTGTTCCAGTCCCCGACGTGTACGCTCGATCGGCCAACTCGGGGGAGTAACTCGCGAAAATAAGAAGAGCCCGCGGAGAGATCCCGCCCACGTCAGATGGAGGACATCGTAAAGTGCCGACTCTGACTGTAAGCAAAAAAACTTTGTCCATTGGTCGCACTTGAACTTTCACGTCGCAGGTCTTCACTCCCCCCCCCCACTACTAACTTTCTATCGAGTGCCATTCTTTCTTATTCGTCAATGATTTTTATATAGAAACTACTTTAGGAGCACACCCCGCATGTTCTCTAAAAACTTCAAAGGTTGCACTCTTGTTATACAGGATGTTGTCCTCCCGACATCGTTTCCAAAAAGACTCAAGTTTACTCATTTATTGTTCGATAATTACTTTTAAACAGACTCTATCTGAGATTCTACTTCAAAGCGTATTAAGGAGGAGATATTTAAATACGCGGCCTGACTCCGCGAATTGAGCGAATCTTGGCAACATGAGCTTATGGATTTACCTGAGGCCACTCGGCCACGTAGAGCCAACTTTAAGCTAATACAGAATGTAAATTTCATTAATAAACCGAAAAAGTTGGCTTTATCTCTAACTGCACGATTCCCCAATACTTCATTCTCTTATCCGGCGGCGGTGTTGAAAATTTTCCAGCATCTATTGGCCGGGAAAGCACTGTAAATATCGTACATTTTAATTGAAGTCCTTGGCCCCAATCGAAGCCCAGCGTCGAATCGATATCCATTTACAAACAGAAGTCAGCGTCGCTCCGTTGCTCCATAGTCCAAGGATCGCGAATCTAGGGAGCGTGGGAGGAGAACGTGGAGGAGGACGAGGTGATTGCGTGTGCTATAGTGATAGGGACGCTGGGTAGGGTGGGATGGTGTTGAGAGAGCGAAGTGATGATTGGAGGGGTTGTGGATATTAGGACGACAATGAAGGACAGCAATAGGATAGGAGGAGTTCGATGCACCAAGCACCGAGAGTACGGGGTGCAGCCAAAGCGAATGTGTGCGTACTCACGTCCTGAGCGGAGAGGATCTGCGTGGGCGGCTGGATGATCTGGCTGCCGGCGTGGGGCCGATGGTGGAGCGAATCCATGGTATCCTCGCGGGAGCAGACGCCCCTGTACCACGGCAAACCGCTTGCTGAGTTGTTGCGCCTGTTCTTGTACTTTCGCCAAACATGTCTGAAATATATGCAACATCCCACGTCTTCGCGTGAATTACTTATTTTCCTTTTAGCCATTTGGTTTTTGCCTTAAACGAGGGCCCGGTTAAGCGGTCTTTTCATTTCCATATTTCGAGTTACATTGACGATTATTCGTTAGCGTGATTAGCGAGTGCATTCGTGTGTTACACCGTTACGCGCGCATTTTATGAAACTCGATGATAATTACGTCGAGATTATTCACGTGAATTTAATGCATTTTCGTCCATTATATGTGCAATTATGGTGCTCGAATGTTAGTAAAATTATAATTTCGTAAAAGATTACGAAAGGAATCAAAATGTTTCTTTAAATATTCTTCTAACTCTTATAATTATCATATCAATTTACAATAGATTTAAGCTCGTATCCGATAGTCTATGAATTTAATAAAAAGAGATTTTATGAAAAATCCGAAAGCTAAAGTTTATCATTTGCTTCTAAGGAATTTTTAATAAATTTCTTAAGTTCAATTTAAAATATAGGAGGAATTTCGCATATGTTTCAATAATAAAAGAATTCCATAATAACGCATAATATTAAATAGAAAGAATAGAAAATATATGTGATAAGTTAGCCAGATTGCTGCTCCAAAATTTACCTAATCTAACCCAACGATTCTCATAACTATAAAATGTAAATTCTTTACGTGTAAAACATAATAATGTCAATATTGTAATTATCTGGCTCTCGCTTTTTTTTTGTTTTGTGTTTTTTTTTTTTTTTTTTTTTTTTTTTTTTTTTTTTTTT